TGTAACCATGTCATTCTCAATCCTCACCTCTTTCTGCATTTGTCAATTGTCATTTAAGGTTTTCAACTTTGTTATGTTTTTAGATGAATCGATCTTTCTCTTTGGATTTTATTTTCTTCAGCATAAATCCAAAAGATTCTTGCCGCCTTTCTGAATGTAAATTGTAATCAAATTTGATTATATCTGTCTCAACTTGGTATTTGTTTTTTTTTTGGTGGGATCTTTAGGCTTTTTTTTTTGCCGTTAATCGGTTGACGAGTTTTAGTATTTTTTTAGGCTTTTGTATTGTTTGTAAAATTTGCATTATAGTGTTCTAATGTGCTTTTGCATTTTCAAAAATGCTTTTGAATGGCTTCTTTACTAACTGATGATATATTTCCAGTTTTTGCGTATGTATATTCATGTCAGAGACTATTTAATAATATAGTATTTTTTTTTATGAGTGGCCAAAATTATGAGATTGAGTGAGTTTTGGCATAGTTTGAAGAATAGGTTTTGGAATCAGTGGCGTAATTACTTGGTATTTCCATAAAAAAGTCATTTGATATTTAGTTTGGTTTTATATATACTGTAGATAACAAAAGCATGATTCCCAATGTCAAATAGTTGAGTATCATGTGTCATGTACAAAATCTCTTTTTTAATGGAAAACTACATTATTCATATAAGGTTAGTATATAAACTACTAAAATTTGGTTTAAATAAATTAATATAAATTAATGTACCAATTTAGATTTTTATATAAGAGGGTTGGGGTTCGAATTGGTGAATTCTATTTTGGTTTGGTTTGGTTTATATATTTTATTTATATCTTTAAGTGGTACACATACTTATAAAAATTATCGCAAGTTCGAATATACACTAACATATTTTGAATTTTGTTTATCTATATTTATTTCAACTCGCCCGGATATTATCCTAATATAAATAGAAAGGTTAAAAAAATATTAAAAATCTATATTAGAAAGAGTTAAGATCTTTTAATTTACCTATGGCTCTATAAAAAGTTGAAATGTGCATCAGTGCATGTGAGCGAAAAATGGCCAATTTCTACCTGCACACTTGTCCATGGTCCTATTCCGGACCTGTACAATAAAGATGTGCGAATACATACACGTACTCTAAATATTTTTAAAATTTATACCCAAACTATCGTATTTCGGCTTCTACATACTTTGACCGTAATTTTGTTAGTCAACTGTTATTATTTTCATACTTGGATGCTGAGTCAT